TATATATATATATATGTGTGGATCAAGATTAGTTGGTACTATGATGCCAAATTAGTAAAATAATATTTTTAATAATTTTTATACTAAATGCAAATCTAACCATTGTGTTTTATGATATTACTAATTAAATTAAAATAAATAAAAAAACACATTTAATTATAAAATCATATCATTTTATTTTAACACATAAAATGATATTTAGAATATATGTAAATATTTATTATTAAATAATATATCAAGAAGAGTTCAAAGTCTAAATCATTTAAAATTTAATATACATGATAATGAATTTTATATCATCAAATACAACAATTAAATCAATTGAATTTACATTTGATACAATATTATTAAAAATATCCTTTCACTACTTTGATATCATTGTGTCAATAACATATCTTGGCCCAAAAAATACAGGCACACACGCATATTACAATGGTCAAACTCAATTTAAATAATTAGTTAGAGAGATGGTACTAGGCAAATAGAAAAACGTAATAATATAGCAAGAAAACATTTTAAAAGGATTGTTTTGGAAGTGCCAACATGTTTGTAAAAAAGTTTTTTAGAAGTGTTTAATATAATAAGAGACCCATAACTACACTGTATTTGGTAAAATGAAAGAAATGTGCAATATTGTAAATTTTAATTATTGTCTTTTAGTAATAATTATTTACATATATATACGGTGTTTGAGGTGTGTTGTGGGACTTTGAGAGTTTAAAGACTCTCAAGAGTTTTTTTTTTAAATCTCTAACTAGAGGTTTAGTTGACCTGATGGGAGGAAGTATTTAAGATTTGCATTGATACTAAGCCTTATAAGTTAATGTTCTCTATATTTTAAGAGATAAACTAAAGAGAAGTATTCTTGGTTTGTGAGTTTTCTTCTTCTCTAAACTTTTTCTACATTGGAAGATTTTTTCCTTGGAATAATTGATGTGTTTGTGTGCTTTGATTTAGGTCCCTAATGAGCTGAACCAAAGTGTTTGGTGTAGAGTTCTTGTACTCGAAGCTTAAAGCAATGTCTTTATTTCTTTCTTCCTCACTAGCAATTTTCATTTCTCCCTCATCATTTCACACTCTAACAAGTCCTTCTTCCAACCTAATTTTTGTTATAGAATAGAAAATTTGAACATATCTTTTATAACTCATTTTTTTTCAACAAATTATAGTTATCTCTTGCATTGACCATTCATCTGAATCACACTCAGTCATAGTAAATATTTTTCTTTTAGTGTATTTTAACTAATCACCTTCTGATTTTGTCATCATCTTTAGTAAATGACTCCCATGAAATACATCAATAATGAAAGTGTACGAACACATATTTTGGTTCCACAAAAAATTAATTTAGTAAAAAATCAACACCTTATTGTTATTGCAAATTCAAAGAAAACAACATGATAGAAAAATTAGATTAAAACGACCTACCTTTACTAATGCACCCCACAATAAACATTTACATGAGATGTTGGCAACAACATACTTATACGAAACTACAATAACAACACAATATTATAAGCTTTAAAATCCCTATTCGTTGTGTCCAACTACAAAAAAAAAAAAAAAAAA